GGGCTCTGGGGGGAGGAGCAGTGGGTCCCGCCGCCCGGCCCCGCCCAGCGCCCCCCACCCACTCCTCCCTCTCCAGGGGCTAGGCTCGGGGGCTCCGGGGGCTCCGCTCGCTGGGGATCGGTATTTTCCAGGCTGCGGAGGTACAGCTGACGGAGCTCGGAGCCCCGCCCCGCCCCGCAGGGTCCTAGCGCCCTCCCCCGCCCGCCCCCCGAAGGGGACCCTGGCCCTGGGGAGGGACAGGGTCCTCGGGGCAGGGGGTTGGGGAGGGGTCAAAATAGAGCGGGATCTGAGAGGAGGGGCGAGGAAGTACTAGAAGAGGGATTCTGAAAGTTAATTATAAACCCCTGCTCTCGACCCCCCTCCCATGCTCACAGGTACACACCTCTGCAACAACATACTTTCACACAAGCACGCTGTCCCCAGCAGCACCCAGAGACCCAAAGATGGGCATACTCCCCCCACCACAATCAAGAGCAATTCAGAGATGCCCACAGCTTGCATCCCTCACCAACCCTAGCCTCAAGATTCACAGACTAGCTGGGCTTAGGCAAAATCTCCACTCACTCCCAACTGGGAGCTTTAACCAGGCTCTCCTGAGCCCCCGACTCTGGCCCTTGTCCACTACCACCCCTCCTGAGCACCCATGCACGTGTCCACACCTCCCATGGATTAGACAAGGCTCTCAACAGCATCTGGCTACAGAGCTTGGGCGCTCCCCTGTCCCTCCCTAGCCAGAGCTGGCCACAGCTCCATAGCCACAGGGAAGATATGTCCACCAGCACTCCAGCCACCCCTTCCAGACTGGGAGGCTACTACCTGCCCCGCTGGGTCCTAGTGCCAGCTCTACCTCCAGCTGCTCTGTGTGAACTGAGGCCAATAGTTTAATTTCTCTGAAGCCAAGCCAATGTGAGTGTGGCAATGGGCCCAAGGCTGAGCATTCACTGACCCCAGTGACTGGCCCTTGACCACAGAGGGCTGAGGAGGGCCTGTGGTGAGCTCCCCTGCATGGGCAGCCAACAGAGCACAACAAGTGCCCACCACCTGCCCCATGTCACATGGCGAGTACATGGCCATCCTGCCCAGAACCAGGTCTCAGCCTCCTCCCACCCCAGGGTTTCCCATCTCTCTGGGTCTTCGTTTCCCATCTGTAGAATGTGAGCATCCGAATGTACAACCTTCTAGCCTCACCATCTTAGGGCTCTGGTATGAAACAGCTTTTCCTAAAGGCACTAGAGAAAGATGAGGAGTTGTCACAGTGGGTTCACAAATAGAGGTGTTTCTTCCTGAAGTGCTTAGGGCTTCGAGATGTTTGTGAATCAGGCCCAACTTTAAAAGTAGAGGGGGTGAGCAGGGAGCTGTGATGGCAAGCAATCCTAAGAGGCATTCTGCAAAGTAAATCCTATAAAATGAGTTGCAGGTACCCATGAAGCCTGTGTGATGACTTTAGCTCTCCAGAGTGAGAGGCATGGCCAGATCACCCTTGCCCCTTCTAACTCATTCTTAAAGGGTATGGACATGGGTGGCATGGGGCTGGCTCTGGGCTCAGGAGGCCAGGGCTCTAGCTCTCTGCTATGCACCTCCTCAGCCCCCACCCCAACTCTAGGCAGTTCACTGCCCCTCCCCTGGCTTCAGCAGTTTCATCTGACAGACACCCAGGCTGGTGGGAGACCTAAAGAGGGATATACAGACTGCTTTGTGAACTGTAGGATCTGCCACGAGCACTGGCCTGGTGGCTCCTGCCTTCTTAGGGCCCCAATGACACACATGTCAGCTGACAGCAGGCACCAGGGAAGTACATCTCTTAGCCCATCACCCAGTCCAGGGTAGAAGAGATAAGGCTGGGGTGACAGCAGGAGATAGCAGTGAGGGTGGACTGACAGGACTTCCCCACCCCTAGAGCACTGCCAGTTTGAGGGAGACACACAAACTCAGGGAGGTACAGATGGCAGAAACCAAAATATCCCTCAAATCTAAATATAGATTAACCAAGAATGAATCTTTTGGGGTCCTGGGGCAGAAAAGGTGGGTCACCTGGTACCCTTGGGCTCAGATGGCCTTGTCCTGGGCTCATCCCTGCCTGGGTCCTAGGTTTAGGCCAGGCTATTTGGAGCATCAGTCATCATCCTACTCACTATTAATTTGCTCTTGCAAGCCTCCCAACCCCCAGGAATTTAGGTTTCTCTGACTCAAGGGTTCATGACAGCCTCCCAAACATGCCTGGACCAAAGCAGATTCATGTCCTGCCTCAAACACCCCTGAGCAGCAGAGGAAGGGTCCGGTCTGCTCAAGGGTAGAAGAGTGAGCCTGGGAGGGCTGGGATGGGGACTTGGAGGGAGTCTGAAGAGGAGTCCTAGGACTCAGCCACCCCTGCTTCCCACAGCCTAGCAGTGCAAAAGGCCTGTGGATCTGGGTTCAAATCCTGGTCACACCATTTCCTAAATATGTGACCAAGGGCAAGTGACATGTCCTCTCTCAGCCTTAGTTTCTTCATCTAGAATAATAATGGCTACTCTCTGAGAATTACTGCAGAGAAAAGAGTTGTACAAGTGTCAGTTTCACCCCCAAGTAAGTAACCAAAAATATAACTGGAGAGGGAAGGGTAGGGAGGAATAAATACAGTGTCCAAAAATGGCACACTTCCAACAAAAAGCGTAAGGTAACATTTTGGTAGGATGGTTGTTAAGATTCTCACGAAAGATTAAACAGTGGAAAACGTTGGCAAGGCATGACCCTGCTCTGTCCCCTGCAACCCCTGCCGTAGCCACACAGCCCTTCCATAGGCAGTGGATTGGGCAAGGTGCCTCTCTGGGCCCCAGCCTCAGAACGGCGCATCACTGAGCAGGAGTCAGAGTGGGTGTGGAAGGCAGGAGCGAGTACAAGGAGAAGGTGCTTAGCAAACTGAGAGGCATCATGAGAATGTGAGGAATCATTACCCAGGGCGTTGAGAAGGTGCTGGGTCTTACATGTGCCCCTCACAGAGAGAGCAGCTGAGGTGTGGGAGGCACAGGGACACCCCTGAGTCAAAGCAAGTCAGAGCCCATCTGGGGACCTCTAGTACCTCAGGACTTGTGGAATGAGGTAGGGGGCGTTTGGAGAGATTCACACCAGACTTTGCTCACTGCCCCCTGATAGCTGTAGAACAGGGTCAGGGTACCTGCCTGGAGCCATTCATGACCTGGTCCCTAACACTCACCTTAACTGCCCTCCCTGAGTCCCCCCTCAGAACTAAAGACCCTCAGACTAGTGTCATCTGGCCCCAGCCTTGACCTGGCCCCACCTGTTCAGGTGGAGAAACAAACGCCCAGACAACAGGGACAGAGATAAGATCCTATGTCTCCCAGCTCCTAATCCAAGGCTCTGTCTCTGTCACTCATTATATGCCACCCCTTTCACTCTCCTGGGGGTGACCTTGGGACAGTCAGCGACCTCTCTCTGCTTCAAGATTCATCCTCCACCCAAGGGCCCCCACCCTGCCCAGGATGTTGGACAATGAAGTGCCAGCAAGTCTTGACTTACTCCTGAGTGCTCCCTCCTACTCACCATCTAGTCAGACAGATGGATGGCTGCCTCAATCTCCCCTCTGGGAGATGAGAAGAAGGCCCCCCAACTTGGCCCCACTTCCCCCACCCCCCTCCTCAGGAGTCACCGGGCCTGCCAGTTTGGGTGGAGAAAATTCTCAGGTTGCCTAGGGTAATGAGGCAGTACCCTGGGGGCACCATTCTAGAAGATTCGGCAATGACCTGTGTGATGTCACCAGGAAGCAGTAGAGAGGTGATTCCAGAGGCCCCTCGGAAAGGGCACATGACGGAACACTCTGAAGTCCCCAGGGCTGCCTTGGCCTTGAGAGAGACAAATCCTTTACAGTTAGATGGCAGGTGGCAATAGGCATCCCAGTCCCACCTGGAGCCGGATCTCAGTGTTTGCCCAGGGCGGGTCTCCTACCCCTGCTGGGCCTCACTGAGCAAACAGCCCAAACACTGCCTTGAGGGAGTGGTTAGAGCCTGAGGGAGTCACTGAGAGGTATACACAGAGTCACCCATATCCCCTCTCCTCCTGGTGACCCTGTCACAGCCGTGTACCATCACACTGATGTCCTGTCACAGTCCCT